TACTACTACTACTACTACTACTACTACTACTACTACTACTACTACTACTACGACCACTACTACTACTACTACTACTACTACTGCTACTACTACTACGCTTACTTCTATTACTACCGATGCGTTTACTTCTACTTCTACGACTACTACGACGACTACTACTACTCCTACTACTGACACCACTACTACTACTACTACTACTACTACTACTACCACTACGACTACTACTACTACTACTACTACTACTACTACTACTACTACTAGTACTACTACTACTACTACTACTACTACTTATTATTCTACTTCTACTTGTACTACTAATTATGATTGTACTTATATTTCGACTTCTTCTAATACTACTACTACTGCTACTAGTACTACTACTACTACTACTACGACTACTACTACTACGGCTACTACTACTACTACTACTACTACTACTACCACCACTAGTACTACTATACTACTACTACTACACTACTTTACTATTAACTACTACGACTACTTACGATATACGACTTAACTACTACTACTACTATAAACTACTACTACTACTACTACTACTAACACTACTACTATACTACTACTACTGACTACTACTTAAACAACTACTAACTACTAAACTACTACTACTACTACTACTCTACTACGACTACTACTACTACTACTACTACTACTACTACCACTACTACTACTACTACTTCTACTACTACTACTACTACGACTACTACTACTACTACTATACTACTACTACTACTACTACTACTACTACTACTAGTCATACTACTACTAGTCATACTACTACTACTACTACTACTACTACTACTACTACTACTACTACTACTACTACTACTACTACTACTACTACTGCTGCTGCTGCTGCTGCTGCTGCTGCTGCTGCTGCTGCTGCTGCTGCTGCTGCTACACTCTAGAATCCCCGGGGTGCACACCAGCGCACGGGGCGGCCACGAGGCGCCCGCCGTGCGCACTTGCGCCAGCGCTCGCGCACCGGGCGGCGCCGAGGCGGCGGCCAGCGCCCACAGGTCGCAGCAGCCCCCAGCACGCCGCGCCGCACACCCGACACGGCGCGGTGGGTCGCGCGCCGCCAGCGGGGGGGCCGCCCGCAGGGGGAGGAGGGGGAGGAGGAGGAGGAGGAGGAGGAGGAGGAGGAGGAGGTGGAGGAGGAGGAGGAGGAGGAGGTGGAGGAGGAGGAGGAGGAGGAGCTGCCGCCGCGCCCACTGGAGCCTGTGCCCCCGGCACCCGCCCGTCCCCGCCGAGGTGGGGCCGAAGCCTTGGGTTTCGGGCTCGGCGTTCTCTAAGCTTGCTGAGATTGGCGTAGGCTCTCGGCGGCTTCCCAGCCCCGGGATGACCTCCAGCAGCCGTTCCTCGCTGATGGGCTCTCCGCTGGGGCTGCCTCGACCCAGCGCCCACCGCGCGCACACCCTCCAGCGCACCCGGCATCGACGAGGCGGCGACGGGCGGGCCCACCAAACTTCTTGGCGTCGCGGCCTCGCGCGCAGCGACGAGGCGGAGAGGGTCAAAGACAGCAAAGTGCGCGCGCGTCTGAGCGCCCGAGGCCTCAGTGGCCGCTTAGGGTCACGCAGCGGCCTGCCGCCACAACCATCCGGACATCAATGGCAGGGGGGATGGTAGGAAGACGAGCTGCGGTGAGTGGAGGGTGACATGAGCCAACACGGCCACCCTTCCAAACAGTCGGAAGCCAAGTTGAGGAAGCAACCCCCAGTGGTATGCACATAGTTTTCTGGAGGTCGCGCGGATGTCTTGTTGGGTTCGGCGCTCCGCCCGCCTCCCCGCCACTCCTGACGGCACCTCCGGCGCAGCTGCCGAAGCGCTACGCACGCCAGGGAAGGGGCACGGGGAGGTGTGTCGGCGCCGACCCAGCCAGGTACGCGGGGACCTCCGACATCCTTGGTTACTCGAGGAGGCGGTGCCCTTGGCGTCCTCCTTTCCCTCGCCGAGGAGGAGGAAAAGGAGGACGAGGGGGCGGGGGGTGGAGGAGAAGGACGGGGCAAAGAAAGGGGAGGAGGAAGAGCAAAAGCCAGAGCAGGCCCAGGATGCCACAACGATCCCTCTAACCCTCCCACTCCCTGCCCCTGTACTCCTCTTCTTTTCCTCCCCCTTCCCGTCAGTTTCCTGCTCTCTCATCTCTCCTTCGGTCCCTCTGCTCCCCGTTGGGCCCCACGACGGAGTGTCGCACTTCCAGCGGGACGGGGTCAAGATCCTGATTTGTGCGATGATGTGCACATGACAGGCAGCGTTTCACTACAACTGTACGCGCGGACCGGCTCCAATGTGAGGCGCGCCGAAGTCTTGATTCTGGTAGTGCGCGTGCACAGCACAGGGTCGGCTAGTGTATTTGGTTGTGAGGCGCATCAGGGTGCCTGATATTTTTGTTATGAGACTCCATCTGCGCTGTTGTAAAATACTGGCGGCGCACGGCAGCTCGTGCCGAATGTCTGCTGAGTAGCTCTACAGTTTCCCAGAGAGGATGTGGGCACATGTCAAGGGTTTATCTGTTTCTAGTTGTTCCCCGAAGTCGACCGTCTCTCCCAATGGATAGTGCGTACAATATTCGTCCCTTCGCACTCCATTCGCATTTGCCCTATCATATGGTCGTTTTGGTGATTGTCCTGGCGCAGCCACGGCATTGAAGCAGGTTTCAAGACGACGTTGTATTCATGCAGGTACCCGCAATGTAGGTAGGTGATATTGCAGATTGTGCCTGATTCGATCACAGCTCCTTGCACAAGAACGCAAGTGTCCTTCGTCACGCGTTATCTAGCCAAGGCCTTGCGGCCAGTACCGTCGACCCTAGACGGAGACCAGCAATGATACCAGGCGTCGGAAGAGGCGCGGAAGGAAGGAGCAGGATGAGGAGTAAGACGGCAGGAAGAACCAGGGGGTGTAGCAGGAGGAGAAGGTGGGGGGGGGGGGGGAAAACGAAGTTGGAGGAGGAGGAGGAGGCGGTGGAGGATACGGAGGAGGAAGAACAGTCGGCGGAGGAGGAGGGAGGAGGAAGAGTAGGGGGAGGAGGCGGAAGGAGGAGGAGGTGGATGTAGGAGGAGGGAATAAAAGTAGGAGGAGGAGGAGGAGATGTATGAGTAGGAGGAGCCGAGGGAAGAGGAGGAGGAGGAGGGGGAGGAGGTGGAGGGGTGGGAGGGGGGCGGATTGGAGGAGTCGGAGGATGGAGGACTAAGGAGACGACGACAACGACGACAATAGTCAACCATGAAAGCCTTCGTGTATCGTTCGCTGTGGGAGCCCCCTGGAATTTTTGGTGCAGCCCCTTCGGAGCTCTCCTGCAGCCACTTTGCAAGTTTTTCGGAGGTCTCTTCGGGGTAATTTGGCTGTCCTGGCGGCCTGGGAGGCCCTCTTGGAGCCATCGTGGAAGACATAGTTTCAACAAAGGGGGATTGGAACTAGCCCTGGCCCACTTGGCACCCTCTTGGAATTCTTGTTGAAGGCTCACACGCCCTTCGGGTGCGCGAAAAGGCAGGGATTCGAAATACATAGGTTAACATTCTATGTAAACGAAATATTGTGGCCAATCGGGGGGATCGTTGAGAGGCACCGTGGCCACTTAGAGTCGTCTCGGGGTTACCGTGGGACCTCTTGGACGCATGCTGAATCATCTGGAGCCGATTTGGACCATCCGGCACCAGCTAAGATAGATGAAACCATTCGGCGGGTGTCCTGCGTACCCCCACCATTTCACTATCAAACCTCTGCTGAGAAGAATGGGGTCCGCCAGCATGCTTGGCCACTATGCGACGTGTGCCACAGGTTACGCAATTGCGTCCCGATGTGCCTCACCTGATCTTCTGTAGATTGTGATTTGGGCTCTGCGAGGCAATGCTCTCGCAGAGTAGTCGGTCAGCGTGTACCGTGGCCACACAGGGCCTCGATGGCAGGCACACTGTGTTGACAAACTTCCCACAGCGCAAGCATATAAAAAGCTTTGCTGCCTTGCGTACGTGTTGACTGTTGGTGCATTCGATAGCTTTTTGTCGGCAGTGCCGGCAGACGCGAGCGCGATTGCAGCGCTGCGTTCGATAACACACGGAGGGCATGGAATTACGGAATATCGCAGGCCTCATCGCCGAGCTTTGGAAACGACGGATAAAGGTGGTCACGAGACGCGCCGACGACCCCACCAGTTTCGCAGAGTATTTGTGCAAGCGAATCGTTGAGATAAGAGTCCCGGGGAAGCATTAGTGAAACGCAGGGCGGAGGGAGCATCCGTCGTATCGAAGTTGGGGTCAGCCTGAACAGACCTACACGATGAACAATTTGGCGATCTGTGGAAGCTTCTGACGGCCACGCAGGGGCTCTCTTGGGCTTTTCTTCGGAGCCTTGTGGGTCCGCAAGGAGGCCATCCTGGAGGTAATCGTTCAACAACATGTCAGACGTGTTGACGCTTCGCGTATCCCCACCAGGCCCTCTTCACTTTTGCGCCGACACGATGCTTTGGCATTTGTGTCGGTCGAGTTTGTCTCTGACGGTGTTGTTTGCCTGACTCACACCGAGCGATCGACCTCTGCGTGTTTATCGTCGCGCCGCCGCGCCATTTTGGCTGCGCTTACTTGCTGATCGCCACCGGGATTTCCAACGCCACCGGGTTTTGGAAGTATCGGTTCTGGCTCTCCTTCTGAGTGGCTGCCTGCTCGCTCGCTTCGCTTGCCTTTGTGTTCCTGCTGCCTAGTCGCGGCCCGACTAGTGTTCGGACGGCTTTCGACCCGCCTCGCGAGCCTGTTGACCAACAAATGCCCACCAGGTCATCCAGAAACGGTTCCCCGGGCGAGTTGTTTTGAAAAGGGAGGCGCCGGAGCATGCAGTGGAACTGGGCGGTGAAGCAGCATTCAATCCGAGGCTCGGGATCAGCCTGAGCATAGCCAGGAGGCAAAAGGTCTGCGGTGCGGGCCTCTTGGAGGTTGCATGGGACCATTGCGATACGGTATTGGGACCATCTCTGTCGGGGACGTCGTTGGGGCGTTCTTGGGAGCCCCCTAGGGAGCAATATTGCGGCCCATCTTGCGGTCCATCGGCCTCAGAAGAGGGCGGCCCCAATGCCAGAGAATACGTTCCCATCGCCTCGCCCCCCTAATCCTTCACTCCTGCATTGTCCCTCTTCCTCCTCCACTGCCATCATCCTTTTTCACCCCCGCGGCGTAACAATATTGCTCCATTGCGTGGAGTTCCGTTCTCCGCGCAAGGCTTGTGAGCCGAGGGGCATGACTGGGACGGAGGACAGTTGTTTCTTTCACGGTGCGTCGGAATTTGGAAAACCCAGCGAGTCTGTATAGCCCTTCTTGGAATCGGAGAGAAGTGAGATAGAGCAGGGGGAGGAGGAGGTGGAAGGGGGAGAAAGAGGGCGGGGTGGGCATAAAGAGGGAAGCCAAGTAGCAAAATTGATTAGTTTTGTATTCGCATGTGGTTATGGTTGTCTTGTTTAAGTGTGTGGGTAAACCTTGTCATCGTCATATCATGTTCTGGCCGCAGATGCACAGACAGGAAAACCATAAGAAAGCCTGATAGTCAAGTCCCAAGTCCCAGATTTGTTTGTTGAATCCTATGTCGCTTCATGATTATATCACCTTTCTCCCCAGTCAAATTACCTCTCCTACTCCCGTCCCCCCTCTTGTCATTCCGGCCTCAAACGCACGAACAGGCAAGCCGCGAAACGGTTTGGGACTTCAATGCCAAATCGTCTTGTTGATTCCCCTCTGCGCATTACTTTCTCGCTCCCCTCTTCATTAGCCGCCACCACCAATTCCCTGCTCTGGATCCATCACATTCCGAAGCGACAGAGATGTGTTCACATAGTATGCTGGACCCGATTCCACGTGTATGGACGGCTCTCTGCAGGCGATCATTTTCAAGATTGATGGTCACGAAAATAAGAATAATGTTTGGCTTCGCGGATGGAAGTTGTTCAAAACTCGATGCCGTCGCATTCCGTGTATAAACTCACCGAAGTTAGCCAAACTTCCTCTGTACACTTCCCTGCGCGTACCCAGCATCTCCCGAACCGCTTCCAACACGCACCTGACACGTTTCCAAACCGTTCCGAAATTTGCCGAAACGATTCCGATCGTTCCCAAAGACACTCCCGAACTGTTCTGCACAAAGCTCTCAAGCATGATTCTGCACACCTACAGTCAGTCGGGCATCTGGACAAACGACGCATCGGCAATCAAGGATGCACGTTTAGCATTTTAGACGCATCCATCGAGTAGGACTTTTGACAGTTTCCGGCGGCGAATTCATGGTTCAATATTTTTCCCAATTGGTTCACTCATGAAGTGGGATAGAAGTCGGGCCCGATGGTCTCCCAGGAAAAAATTGGAAAACAACGGCAAACACATTCCGGAGATTACAGCGGCGCGCGAAATCATGAAATGCATGCTGGACAGAAAGGCAATTTCTTATTTTTGAGGATACGCGCATTGGTCAAGCACTATAGGCAAGCAACAAGCAATGATGAACGTTTACTCCATGCCAGCGCCACGTTCAAACCAGTGACAGGTTAGATCCGTTTGCTCGCATATTGTTGAGCACCAACAGAACATACACCAACAGAGGATGTGGTTCGTCGCATGTGGGTGGTGCAGATATCACGTTGACATGTTATACATACAGTGTTGTGGTTGACATTGTAAGTTTGATGCAACATGCGGGAACCAACTACTCGTTATTCTTAGTGTGGTGTGTCCGATTCCCGTGCGCAACCGCACGCTGTCCGATGAGAATGTGAAGGTTTCTGGTCTTGTTTTGGGGAGTTTGCACTCTTCGCATATACCCACCAGCCCGTTCAGAAACGTCTCCCATGAGAGCTGACGGGAAACAAAAACGATGAAGCATATATAGTATATGGTGAGACCAAGTTAGCAAGCAGGATGAACCGATAGATTTCTTGGAGCAATGGGGTGGCATTGGAAGGCCTCTTCGGGCCATCCCTGGGGCCCGCGAGGGGGGAGAGGAGGAGAAGGAGGAGGAGGAGGAGGCAAACCGCCTCTTGGGGCGCTCTTGCGGCGCTCTTGCACACTCTTGGGGTCGTCTTGGAGCCTCCTGGAAGCCCTGGAGGGCTTCTTGAGGCCATCTTGGAGGCCATCCGTCAAAGGCGGGGGGGGGGTCCGAAATGTTCGTTCCCCCCTGAGGCTTAGGGCTCTCAGCATCGCCTCTTGGGGCGCTTTTGGGCCGACCTACAGTGTCTGCCTGATGAGGGCGCGGGGCCCTGGAAACGCCAGTCTGGCGCCTCATTCTGCCAGCGCGCCGCGTCTGCGTGGGCACTACCAGTGAGTGGTCACAGATTGTAATTCAGTTTCTAACCAGGGACTGTGTTCTGTCTGTCAATCGATCATGTAGTGCGGATGGGATTTTTGGAACGTCTTATATGTTGCAATTGCTACTATGCATTGCGATGACGCGAATACTACAAACATTGTTGGCGCCTTTCCAGCTGTCATGTTCCCAAGGGCATATGGCGTTCAGCACCTGAACGAACAATTACGATCACATTTGTGTCCCTCGCATTTGGGACCCAAGTACAATTTAATGTCGTATGCGGTTGGTCTTGAAAGGCGGGCCTTGAGATAGCAATTGCCATCGTAGGCTATTTGGATTGCGCCACGCGTCGACAAACGTCGACTGTGGCTGGCTGCCGTTCAAGATCGGGTCTTTGGAAAATCCATTTCGAATACGTCACCCTTGCCGCGCAAAAAGGCCCTGTCATGCGTTGGAAGCATACGCCTCCGACCGCGCCCGATGCTGTTGCCAAATTGGACGTGATCGAAGATCTTCTTACGCATCCAAGCTTGGATCACACGCTCGATGAAAGCAATCTCGCGCAGTACGTCCACGGTATTCGGTTTGTCTTCCGTTCCAACGTCGTCCACCGCCCGTGAAAAATTCAATTGTATGGCCGGAGTTCGCAGAGATCGGAGAACATTTTCCTCTCCGTGTAAGATTTGTCAGTCAAGTTCAAAAGCGATTTCTTGTCTAATGAACACAACCGCCTTCGCCTTGGTCTTCCAGGTTCTTGCAAATTTGTCTCCAAAATCTGTCGAATAGATCTTGTTCGAGGAATTGCGCGTAATCTCTGGTGTCATTGTTCCACGGGAATATCTCTTCGATTGGGTTGGCCAAAGCGGCCCCGCCGCCCAGGTACAATGCTCGGGCCGCCAAGTGAATGCCAACAGCGCTCATGAAATCGATCACGCGACCCACAGTTGCTACGCCGTTCTCTTGGGGCGCGGGCGCAGATTGGTTTTCTGAGCATCTTGCGCGACGTGCATTCCGAGCCAATCAATTCCCTGTCGTGTGAGTTTATGGATGCTTTGGTAGCGTGCGCCGTCGCAACCCGGCCGAAATTTGCACGTGAGCCCATATTTATTCGCCTTCTCTCTGCCAAACTTATATAGTACCGGCGCCGAACACAGATGAGAGAACATTTTTGGGAACGCGCGACAGCCGCCAAATTGGGCCACCAGTCTGAGGGGATGCTTTTCGCCATTGTGCCTCATTCATTCGCTTTTGGCGGATGGGACAGATGTGGCGCCGGTGGGATGGCGCCGATCAGAATTCGGTGGTCACTCCAGGCGCGTCACGTCACGCCCTGTCGATAGTTGTGATGCGCTCGTTCGCGAGCGCCGCATCAGTGACAAAGCCCACTGCGGCGCGGCGCCGCCTACGTGGCAGAATCCACTGCAGAGCGCGGCAAGGAGCAGGTGCGGGTTTGGAACCTTTGGACGCCAGCGTCGCACTTAACACGCGCAACATTGCCCGCCAGGGGAGGGTGGGTGGGGAGAACGAATACAGGGTCCGGCTTGAGAAAGTAGCATCGACATTTCAAAAGGGGTTTGGTCGTTCCTTCGGTTTGAATGCGTTCCGCTACCTTCTTGGCGGCGAGCTTTCCTAGAGTTCTGTCCGACTTCCTATACTTACTTAAAGGCCTTCGTTTCTTATTTATCCTTCCCTAGGTCAGTAAGGCAATGGGCCCGCCCGCCTCGCACAT